AGAAGGGCTCCTGCTGGGGAGAAGAAATAAAAGCAGTTGAGAGGCTGTTTGGATCGCAAATAAAAGGAGCCCCCTTTTCAGATGCAGATGACAGAGTGTGTCCACTTGTGGTGATCCTTGAGCTGACGGAGGCTAAGTTTATATCTCAGCAATTCCTTGGGAATAACCCCATTGCCCACTTGCTGTCTAGATTCCAGTTCCTCCTCCATTTGCATCTCCTCACTGGGTCCCACACAGCATCCTTTCTGCTTTTCCCACTTCTTGCAGTTTTCCTCTCCCTTCCTAAGTCTTCTCCTCTTTTCTTAATCCCTACCTCAGAAGGGACACCACCACTTCCTTTGGGGTGCCCAGGAAGCACCAGAGACTCTGTAGATTGTTTGTTGTTTATTTTCTTCTACCATCTAAGTACCTAAGGGTCCTGCCCTTGACATGCTCTGTCAAAGTTTAAAGATACATTGTTCCCCAGAGGAACTTTCTATTGCAAGCATTATTACCTGGAGGAGTTACTTAACTACAGATTTGGTTACATTTCAGGTCAAATCAAATCATTTTTAATAGACTTTCAAAGTTCCTGCAGTTCTATCTCTAATGAGGGCCAGCTCACCATCTTATTTTTCCCATCAGAGATATTCAGTTTTCTTTACCACATACAATAAGAGATTATGGCCATCATGTTTTTGTAGAATGAGAATGAAATCTCTGCTTTCTAATTTTATTCCTTCCCTTATATTATTGTTTTTGTTATTGGTTGCTACTGACTTATGCAACATAATTCTTCCCTGGGTACTCATCAGCGGGTATGGTTTTTGATTTGGCACAGTTCAAACCTCGGGTTTTGAGAGTTTTTAAAGTAACCAAGTTGCACACATGGTCAATAAATCAGTCATTGTGGCCACTTTACTGCTTGTAAGGTGATTACTCTACTTTGCTCATAGTGACTTTTCAATTTGATTAAAATTCAGTTTCATCAAATCGTGGTTGAGTCCTCCAAATATATAAATATATAAAGCAATGGGAGAACTCTGCACTGAAACATTTTTATAACCACTTTCAACTTTTTAACCACCCATTCCAGCACTTTTGTGGTCCTCATCCTATAATTCAAATTTCCGTACTCTTTGCTAAAGTGATTTTTATTTAGTGCATATTCCAACCTCTCTTCTCTGTAAAAGTGTATTATTTTTTCTGCCAACTGAGTGAGCTTTGGTCTTGCTGCAAAGCATTTTCTGCGTCTCAAATGGGCTCCTGTGTGGTTTGAGATCAGGCTCTGATGGTGGTAGAATGGAGAAGATGCACTGATTCATTTATGATTATTTTCCAGGCAATAGGAACCTGAAGAGCAGGAATGGAATTGTTATCATAGACAAGAAAGTACGTCACATTCAACTTTGCTACTGCCTTGGCAACAGGAGCCCTTTTCACTGTATTTTAAGAGAAATTAAAAATAAGCCTCTGCACCTAGAGTTTGGTGCCACTAGCTTTATGTGGCTCTTGCTTGGCTCGTGGCAGGTTGTCCTGCCTCCCTTGATCCTCCACAGGGTGGTGCCCCCTGGTGCAGAGAGCTGCTATCTACAGATTGCTTTGGTTCCTACCAGTGAATTAAAGTCCCGCCAGCATTTCATTCTGTTACTGTATGTGTTGGAATGTCCGTGATGATAACCACACAGGCTGCCTGTCGCATAGCGGTTCACTTTGTCTCCCAGGGAAATCAATTATCAGTTTGCTTTGAATTATTTGCTCCTCCAGCCCTCTCCTTTTCATGCCTTCCTTTTTCAGAAGCTGAGATTTTTCAGAAATGCGTAGTTGATCTTCACTTATGGGCTCTGTATTTGAAAATTAGTTGTTTTGCTCAAACTCATTTTGTAACCCCTTATGTTAGCATTATGGTTTACATTTGGATGTCCCCAAGCCTTGTGCATGAAGAGATGGAACTTTGGGGAAGTGAATGCATTATGAGGGTGCTATATTCATCTACAAATTAATCCACGGAAGAGTTTATAGCTGTTTGGTTGGAAGAGGTGGGTAATTGGGAACATAACCTGGAAGGGTGTATTTCCATTCCTGGCTTCTCACTTGCTGTGTGCTTCCAGTCCTCCATGATGTGAGCAGCTTTTCCTCTGCCGTGTCCCTCTGCCGTGCCCCTCTGCCGTGCCCCTCTGCCGTGCCCCTCTGCCATATTGTCCTGCCTTGTAACAAGCTGACTATGGACTGAAACATGAGCTAAAGTAAAGTTCTCCTCCCTTAAATTACACACGCTGGGTATTTTGTCCCAGCAACGAGGAAAGTGATTAAGATGTGTTAGTCAGCTTTCTATCACAGTAATGAAACACCTCATGCAATAAATTTACAAAGAAAAAGGCTTTATTTTGGCTCACAGTCTTGAAGGTTCAGTCCGTGATCACTTGGCCCCTTTGCTCTGAGCCTGTGGTAAGGCAGCTTGTCATGGCAGGAACACATGGGGGGACAAAGCCATTCCCTTCATGGTGGGGACACAAAAGAAGAAGAGGGTGGAGCTCCACAATCACCTCTAAGGGCATGCCCCCAATAACATAAGGACCTCCCATTAGGCTTCACTTCCCAACAATGCCACCATAGGTCTTTAGGAGACATTCCAGATCCAGATTCTAGCTCCAGAATCAGTATTCACAGTGCTTTCAAGGCCATTCCCAAACATGCTTGTGCAGTGTGACAAAAAGTTTGAGTTGCCAGAAGCACCTGCTAGCAACTGAGGTTGCAGAAGGTGACATGCTGCCTTTGTTTCCACCATCAGTACTGTGAACAAGTGTCTCTTTTTTGGTTTATTTGGTGCCACACTTTTTTTTCATTTTTGTGCTTTTGTGTTGGTAATTTTGCATTTAAAGTGGCCCTGAATATCCAGGGATTTAGCTCAGTGGTTCCGCTGCCTGCCTCACAAGCACAAGTACCCAAGTTCGATCCCTGGCACCAAAAAGAAAGAAAGAAAGAAAGAAAGAAAGAAAGAAAGAAAGAAAGAAAGAAAGAAAAGAGGGCCCTGAAATACGGTGCTGGCTAGTGTTCCAAAGTGTGAGAAGAATTCTTTTGTTCACTATGCTTCTAAAATATGTACATCAACCTAACATGTTCTGTTGCTGTTTACTAAATTCTTCTAATAAAATTTGTTTTGTCATTTTGTATTGTTACAGGATCTCGCAGTATAGTCCAGGCTGGCAGCAAACTCTAGATACTCTCCCTCCAGTCTCCTAAATGCTGGTATTATAATATGCACCACCACACTCAGCCTCCTAACTAATCTTACAATAACCACTAGAGGGCATTGGATTCAGACCAGTTAGCCTCACATTCTGATTTTATCACATCCTTTCATGTCATGAAAAAGGCCCCAATTTTTCAATATCATAGAAATGACTATTGAATTTACATCTGCATCCTGATCTCTCACCTAAACACTAAACATTCAATTGTTTAGTTGACTTCTTTTTTCTAGGCCATTTAATAGCTATATCAAATTTACCTAGGCTGTTTACTTTTACATGTATCCCACTTGGCCTATGATGTGCCTTGTGGAGAAAATACAAGTGTGAGAGAAACTTTGTTTATGGATGAGTCATAGTGTCATTGACTAGGAGTTCAATGTTAACAAACCAGCAGTATATGCTAAATAATGTGTCTTTGAAAAGAAGCACGCATAAAACAAGGTTATGTATTAATCAGCTGACAAAATTGTTGTGACCAAAAGTTCACATGAATTCAAACCTAAGTACTTTTAGGATCAGTGGTTCAGTATTTTCTTTCTTCTTTTTTGTGGTGTAGGTATTGAACCCAGTGCCTTGTGCATGCTAGGCAGACACTATCACTGAATCACATCCTGAACACTTTGTGTTTTTTTTCCTCATTGAGTTTATTGGTACATTTTAGGTATACAGTACAGTTACATTCATCATTGGGATCTTCTACCTTTACATGACAGGTCTTGGTTCTCCCTTTCCCCATTCCCTTGCCCTCCTTTCACCTACTCCACCCTTCCCTATTTACAAACTTTGTTTCCATATTTTCATTTTCTCATATTTTTTCTTTTCCCTTATTACCTTTACCCTCCCCTTCCCACTTTCCCTACACCTTTAGCCCTTTTCTTCCTATTTCACTTTGTCAGTTATCTCATTAGGATCTTACGTACTATTGTAGTTTATTCACAGCAGAGAAACGATTCGGTATTTACACGTGTGTGACTTATTTATTTCACTTAAGCGTATATCCTCAATATGTATCCATTTTCCTATGAATGAATCTAATTTCTTATTCTTATGGCTGAGTAGTATTGCATTTTATAGAAAAACCACATCTTCATCCAGTCTCCAACTGATGGGCAAATGGGCTGTTTCCAAGTTTTAGCTATTACAAACTGTGCCGCTATAAACATAGGTGCGCATACATCACTGTGATATGATTCTTTTAGTTCTTTTGGGAATATACCCAGCAGAGGGATGGCTGGGTCAAATGGAACCTCTCGTCCCAGCCCCAACACTGTGTGTGTTTTGAGAAAGAGACTCACTAGGTTGCTCAGGCTGATCTCACACTTGCAATTCTCCTGCTTCAGCCTCCTGAGTAGCTGGGATTATACCAGCATTTTCTGATTCAGTGTTTGGGGTGACTTTATAAACTATAACTATGAGCCACTGGGCATGGTGGCACAGTCCTATAATCCTACCATTGGAGGAGGCTGAGGCAGGAAAATCAGAAGTTCTAACCTAACCTATGTAGTTTAGCAGGTTAGGGAGATCCTGTCTCAAAGACGTGGTGGTGGTGGTGGTGGTGGGGTCTGGGAATGTAGCTCAGTGTTATAGCCTTAGGTTCGATCCCTAGTACTGCAAAATAGAGACCTGACTAATGAATTATGAAAGCTTGCTGTGTATGTGTTACATTATAACAGATATGCCTATGCTGAAATAACTTTCCTTATATGAGAAAACAGAACCTATGAATTATTCCCTACTTCGGTATTAAACGCTGGTTTTCTCCTGCAGGTGTAAGTAGCATGGTCAGTCCGGGAGTGATGAGCATCTCCGGAAACCTGATGGATTTCCTTGACGAGCCATTCCCTGATGTGGGGACCTACGAGGACTTCCACACCATTGACTGGCTGAGGGAAAAGTCACGGGACACTGACAGACACAGAAAGGTGGGTGGTGCCCGAAGACCATGCTGAAGGGGCTGTCTGCAATGGCTGCACCATGAAGCGGAGGCTCCTGTGCCATGCAGTAGTTAATGTTCAGAAGAGAAAGGTGGGAGAGGCAGACACAGGGACAGAGAATCATGATCACAGGTGCTCTGGGCGTGAGGCTCTGTTGTACTGAGGAAATGTAGTATGGAGGCAATGGGGGGCCCTGGAACCAGGTAAATCTAGGGCATATCCTGCTCCTGACACATTCAGGCTAAGCATCTTTGGGGCTGCCATTTCCAGGGCTCTGTTTTCTCTTCCATGAAGATGGAGTTAATGATACTTAATTAGACTGAATGAGATTGTGTGTGTGTGTGTGTGTGTGTGTGTGTGTGTGTGTGTGTGTGTGTGAAGGCACATTTTCACGTGCCTGGCATCTAGTTGGCATAGCGGATGGACCACAATAAAGGTAAGAGTCGCTGCCATGGGATTATTCAGGAGGGATGGCTAAGGAAAGGCTTCTCATTTCAGTTGGGGTTTTAAGGATGACTAAGAGTTTGCTAAGCAGAGAGAGGAGGAAAGAATTGTAAACATCAGGAGTGGCCTTTGCTTTTTTAAGCGACATGAAAGAACATGGTACATGTGGGCAATTCAGAAAGCTCCTAGGGTGTGCAGGTGGACTCATGAAAGGAAGGTACAAGGATGAGTTTGGAAATGTAGGCAGTGGAGCCGTATTGGTAATGACCAAGTAGGCTACAGAGAGAAGTGCATTTTGTGTTGAAGGCCACAGAATTGGATAAAGATGAAGGAAGAGGAAGCTCAAAAGTTAGCTCAGGAAAAGCAAGAAGGGCTGACTGAAGGTAACGAAGTACAGATGGAGAGGAAAGACAGAGTGAAGCACTATTCTTCAGCTCCATTGACAGGCTTTAAAGGAGGGTTGGAGGGCAGGGATGGAGTGGCGTCAAGAAACACCAGGTTGTGGCTAGGCGGCTAGGCGAGTGCAATGCCTTTGCTGCTGAGAGCCAGGAGAAGAGCAGCAGCGGGTAGCAGAGGGAGGCCATTGCATACTGTTTCTCATACTTGGAGTTTGAGCTGCCTGCCTGGCCTGCAGCTGGGGCTGGGGCTGGGGCTCGGTGGGCAGAGAGAACTCAGCAGTTCAAGAATGAGATTAAGGTCACGATGGAGAGCGAGGGGCCCCTGGCACACAAGTGGGTGTTGAAGCTTTAGAAACGGTCAAGGTGGCCTGGGTAGAAGGATCAGGCAGTCAGGACAGTGGGGTGGGGTACGTGGGGGGCTATAGCCAGGCACTCAGAGGAAGCTGTTCAGAGTGGAAGAGGGAACCTGCCAAGTGTGGTCCCCCAGTGAGAGAGTGCTGAGGAGGGGGCTGCTCACAAGGTCTCCCTCCAGGAGAGGCAGAGTAGGAGGGTGCCAAACACGTGGGGGATGCCAGTGACCTGTGGGGGAGCTGCTTCAGAGGAGGATGAGAAATGTTGCAGAGTGCCACCGTCACGTCATTTCATGAAGATTGGCATGAAAGAAGGAACAGAGATTCATAGGGAGCAAGGATTGGTCAAGATGATGCGGTCTCTTGGCTCCTCCTCCTCAGGGACAAGGCAGCCAGGAAAGCCTCCACTCTACAGCAGGGATCAGCAGACTAAGGCTCTCAGGCCAAAGCCAGCTGGCACCTTGTTTGGTAAATAAAGTCACTGGAACTCAGGCATGCCTATTCTTTTACATATTTTAATGGCTTCGTTTGTGCTACTGGGGCAGTGTTGAGTAGATGGAATAGAGACCATTTGACTCACACAGCTCAAAATCTTCACTCTCTGGCTCTTTATGGAAAGTGTTTGCTGAACACCTCTCTAAAGGGTAGTGAGGGGAATGATGATCTCAGCATGAAGTATTCTGTCAACACTGGGAGGAAAAGGGGTGTTCTTACCAGGTGTGCAGATACATCTGTTTGCTGTGGTAAACATGAGCTATGCTAGCTGATTCAAAGTTCTTGTTTGTTAAAATTAACCTTGAAAACAAAAGTACCAAATAAAATTTATTGAATAGGTGTTTGTTGGTTTGTTTATTTGAGACAGTATTTTGCTATGTAGTCCAGGCTGGCCATGAAGTCACTGTGTATCCTAGGCTGGTTTCAAACTCAGGGCAGTCCAGCTTCAGTCTTCTGAATGCTGGGATTATAGGCATGTGCCACCACTTAAATATGCTTTTTTTCTGTTTTTTTTTTTTTTTTTTTTTTTT